TTTTTGAATTCAATACCGGATCTAATAAGTTAATTTAGTATCATGGATTATACCTAGGTCTTGAATTTAACTGACTACTTTTAGTTCATATCTTATCATTAAATATTGCATCATTACATAAGAGTTTTCGTACCCACTAGCGGCCTCATCCTTCCCGGCCTCAAACTTGGTGCATATAGTGGTGCTCACTGGACGCAGATCGGCTTGCCATGTTCTGTGGTGTTACACGTTATTGATTGGTTTATATACGGCTCGTTTTATTACGGGAGATTAATTAATTCCTTCGACTCGTTTGTATTTAGTTTTATTGACATTTCGGACCCTTTACAGGTTCCGTGTTCACAGAAGATTAAGGTGTTGACTGGACACGTAACTTGTAAACACGGAACCTCTAAAGGGTCCGTCAACAAACTAAATACACACGTGATGAAACTGGGGTTTAACTATAAGAAAAGTGTGGAAATGCATACCTACTTGGGATGCGGTGTGGAGATATAGGTATATCCCATAAATATGAATATTGATAGCCAAGTTCAAGGTATTTAAGCTCAATATGGTGTGATTGTCGGCTTCATCGGCAACAGAGTTAATATAAACGGATGGCAAGTTTTTTATTATTATATTTTTATCAGCCTCACTAAACTAGTTTACAATGATAACATTAATACATAAAAACATCTGCATCTTTGAGAATACATTTAAACCTATTATTATATTAACATACATATGCGTGTCGTGCTTACCGATGTAATGAAAGTAAATATTCTTACAGGAATGGATTATTTACTATTCTAGAGACATTTAATATGACGAATTAAAATTTAAATATACCAGCCCTAAATATATAAATTATTTAGAAGTGTGAATAAAGTAAAAGATTTTATAAAATATATCTTTTAAGGCCTTTTGCTGAGGCCACAGAACCATTAAAGATATCAAAATCAAATCTGACGGAGTTCTATAAATAGCACATTCGATACAATGGTGAGTTATAAACGAGCCTTGCCCTACAAAGGGAAGGTAAAAGTTTTGCGATTTTGCAACCTACTGCCAAGCTCGTTGAAGAGTATTTTTTATGTGCTCAAGTATTTCTGACCATGGATCAACTTGAATAGGAAAACAACATCAGACACCTTTCTGCGCGCATCCTAAATGGAAAGATGGTAGTGTTTTAGCTCGAGCTTGGTAAGAGTGTAGTTGCTCACGCATGCCATCAGAGTACATGATTTGGTAAACAATTTATGAGTTTTATTTTATTCGCAATTTGCAAGTTATGGTTTAAAATATTGTGACTGATACGTTAATATTTGATTTCATACTAAAAAAACCAACGTTCTCGGGTGTTCTCTCACCCGAGGGCATGCCTCATTGAGTAGGTCCGTTAGAGGGAGTGAGTTCCACACACACACACACATAGTGCGTATCACATTTTTCCTGGGTAAAAAAAAAATATCTATAAAATAGGAAAGTCTCAACATGCGCTGTTATCTCAAATGGATTAAAGGAAGTATCTTCGATTTAAACTTCCAAGCACAGCTTGACAGCTTGGAGATAGTACATGCAGGGTCATCCTGGGGTACCAAATTATTCGGGGCAGTCACATTTTTTTCAATTTGTTATTTTAAGTGCACTTGAATGCTGCTTGAAGAGTGCAAGTAATGTGGGAATGTATTTTTTTACGATTGGCATATTTCTATGTTTCAAATTATAAGTGTTTATTGGGAGATAAGTGGTATAATTGGTTATTTTAAAAAATATTAATGACTGGAGGGACGCAGATCGCTATAGACGCAAAACAGTGAAAGACGTATTCGAATATATTGAACCACGTTATTTAAATATTTGTTGTGAAAAATATTAGAAATGTGAGTATAGTGAATTGTTTGTTATTTTTATTAATAAATAACATTTTTTTTTGGTGAAAAATTAATTATTTTTAATATTTTCGGCTAGTATGGGTCACGTGTGCGATTTGTCTCCTAGAAAAAAATCCGAAGTAAAAACTTTACTCCAGCACACAAATCATTCGCAAAGGAAGATAGCAACACTTGCTGGTGTTTCCAAGTCGGCAGTAAACAAAATAAAATAAAAATTGGAACAAAATCAACCACTTTCGCCAAAACGTATCGGTCATAGTGGAAGAAAAAGAATTACAACTCCGCGATCTGACAGGATGATTCGGGATATTTGTCTGGGAAACAGAAAAAAAAGGACTGGTCTTTTAACCCAGTTAGTTCAAGAGTTAGGAATACAAGTTTCCAAGAGAACGGTACAGCGGAGATTGGCAGAAGAAGGATTGTTAGGTCATCGCCCCGTCATAAAACCTCGCTTAACTGAAGCGATGAAAAAAAATCGTCTTGTCTGGGCTAAGGAATACCGATTGAAATCCATCGAGGACTGGATCAAGGTTAGTTTTGACATTTACTGTAATTTCACGATATGTAAAATAATATTTTTTGTTTAAAAAAATAATAATCTTTCCTTATTTAGGTGTGTTTCTCTGACGAGTCGACGTTTGAGATTTTGGCTGACAAAACCAGTTTTGTCAGGCGACGCCCAGGAGAAAAATACCATCCTGACTGTATCGTGGAGAAAGTGAAACACCCCGTCAAAATAATGGTGTGATCTGTAATAAGTGCCAAAGGAGTTGGACGCCTCTATATTGTCCAGGGTACCATGAGACAGGACCAGTACAGATAAGTTTTACAAACTCGCCTGTTGCCACAACTAGAAGAATGGTTATCTAATGGAGAAGAATTCATGTTTATGCATGATTCAGCTTCATGTCATAAAGCTAGAAGCATTACAAAGTTTCTAGCAGACAATAATATCCCAGTTTTAGCCTGGCCTGGCAATTCTGCAGACATGAACCCCATTGAGAACTTGTGGGATTACCAAGGCGGAAATTGTCAAAGAAATTATTACTACCAAGGTAAAATTGATAGAAAAGTTAATAAATGTCTGGCACCACAATCCAAAAATAAAAGAAAGTCCCAAACAATGCATTGCAGGCTTGCCTAAACGTATACAGGCACTCATTGACGCAAAAGGAAATGTCACCAAGTACTAATAATTAAGAAATAACACAGGTTTTTTTATTTATTTTGAATTTATTTTTATTTCTTCATTTTTTTATTAGTTGTGAATTAATATTAAAATATATTTTTAAATTAAAACTTTATAACTCTATTTATTCCCAATTAAAACGGTACGAAAACGATATTGTGTGACTGTCCCTAATAATTTGGCAACCCACGTAAATGACACCTGAAAACCTTTTTTGGAGTACATATGAAAAAAATTTTCGGGATACATTTGTAATACATATATACTTATGCTAGTTTTTGACGTCATAGTATCCTATCACTACATAGTATAAAACTGAGTCGCTTTTTCTGTGCCTATATCCCTATTTGTGCTTAAATCTTTATAACTACGCAATATACGGATTTTCGATGCGGTTTTTATGCCATTGATAGGGTGTTTCAAAAGGAAGGTTCTTATGTGTAATACTCTTGTATGTGGTCTTCCACGCGGGCGAAGCCACTGGCGGCCAGCTAGTTGCTCATAAAGTAAATAATAAAATCGGCAAAGAGCGAGTCAGACTTGTACCCCGAGGGTTCTGCACAAATAAATACATTTTAAGGACTAATCATAAATATTTTCTTTAATACATATACCACCTATAAATGTTATACGTAATTCTGGAGCCAGTAGTTTCAGAGATTAGGGTTTTTTTTTAATTTGCGACTGTTTTATCGATTAACTACAAAATTATTATTCATAAAATTATGAAACGAAATATTTCAAATCACTTTATTTAAGTGTTCTTTTTCTTGTGTTAGATTTTTCACATATTATTATGCCACAGTTTGGTGGGTAATGTGTTCCCGTTGATAATATACCGACTGTAGGAGGCTTTGATATTAACGCGACGCGTTTGACAATCGATTTGCAATTAGCCTTATCAAGGTTTCACAGGAGGAGTTAACAGAACTAATACTCTCTAGATGAACCTAGTGAAAACTAGGAAAATTATACTAAAATATAGTGAGGTGGTTGGTGCGTTCGGTCTGGGACTAGGGAGGTTAAACAAAAACCGTAAAGGTCTGTTATAGGATGGGTGACGATATATTTATTGTCTCAAGCTCCTCCGGGAAATGGAAGAAACGTTAAGCCGTTGGATGCATCTGGAATCGTTAACACTGATCAATCCTCATTGGACCCGCGTGTGGCCAAGTTTCTCTGTGCGATTATCCACGGGGAATGTATATGTTGCACTAGTAGGAAAATTATTAGACTGATGATGATGATTAAATACAGCAGCTACAAATTATATACATATAGGTACCAGCCTTTGCTCGCAACTTCGTCCGCGGGATAAAGTTACTTTGAGCAGCATTTCTAACGAATATTTATTCATTATATCTTGTAAAATATCTGAAATAAAGTTTCATCCCCTATTTTATCCCCTTAGGGGTAGAATTTATCAAAATCCTTTCTCAGGGGATGCCTACGCCATAGTAGCTTTATGCATACAAAGTCTCAGTCCGATCGGTTTAAAATTGACAATGTTTCATCCCCTATTTTATCCCCTTGGGGGTAGAATTAATCAAAATTACACCTACGTCATAACATCTACCTGCATGCCAAATTTTAGCCCTATCCGTCTAGAGATTTGGGCTGTGCGTTAATAGATTACTATGTCAGTCAGTCACCTTTGAATTATATATGTATATTTAGATTAGATTTAGATTTAGTGTTGATTTTTTGTTTGAAATAACATTCCTCAATTCATTCCTCAAAGTGCTTAATCATTAATCTATTAATAATAATGCTCATTCTGATGTTAAAATTGGGGATTGGTTGTTCAGATATCACAAACTTTACAATATATCTCTCAAGCAAGACCAATACAACAAACAAACACCTAACCGACAACATCTTATCTTAGATCTAATTGAAACGATTGCAAAACATATTGAAGCTCTATAGTTTACCATCATGAGTCCTCCTAGAACAATATCGCCCTCGACGACGGCAGCATGTTTGACGGGCCACGCTGCCTCGTCTGGAGGTTTCTTCTTCACCAGTCGCGACTTGCGGGATGCCTTGCCGTTTCCTGATCCTTTTCCTCCCTTGTCATTCCGTATTTTGGTCCCATTTGTACTTTTAGTATCGGTTTTAGTTGCAATTTCTGATTTTGCTTTTTGTTTCTTATTTACATTTACATTTGTAGCATTCAAAGAAAGATTAACCACCGGTAGGTACTTTTTTGTAGTACTCTCTAATGTTGAAGTAGGGGATGCTATTAGATCGGTGCTGTCTTCGGTGACGAGCGTCGCGAAGTTTACGAGTTGACCATATGCTTGCAACGGTGATGCGCTGGGCTGGTATTCCGGTCTACTTTTTAACTTCTTCTTCTTGAAGAGTCTGGACATGTCAAACGGTGATATAAGTGAATGCGCAGCTCGTCTGTAGCGTCTGTATCTTCTAGAGTTATGCTTTTCTATGAGAAAGTAGTCATCTATTTCAAACGGGTGTAAGTGGTTGGTGAGAATGATGGAAGTATTGAAGTGTGCGCGCGTGGTGGACGCTAGTGCTAGCACGAGACACGCTAGCAACGTTAACACGGCACCTTTGTCGCTAGCCATCCTGTTTTATCATATTAATAGGTATTCTATCTGACTATACATCCTCGCTTACGATATACTTTACCACATTGAAAGATTCGTGGAGTTTGTTCATGACTCGTTCTTTACAATCACAAACTTTTTATTGCTTTGATTTTTCGTTGTTTCTTCGGTTGTGATATTAGTTGTTTTATTCTATTAGTATTATTTCTATGAATTTGGGGCAAAAACATTTCAGATGAGAGTTATTTTGTTTAACTTCTTTCGGTAACACATAGTAGCCACTATATTTTAAAGTCGCTCAGAATTAGACAAATTTGGAATGATCACACATTATTATTTTATTATTTTGAACTGGTTTAAACTTTATGGTTTAACAAAAAAGAAATATAAATAATAATTGATAGTATACTTTTTGGAACTTGAATTATTTATTCCTTTCGCGGACACTACGTTACACAAGAGTTTATTATTTAAATAATAGAAAACTTTAAAATACATATGAGAAAAACAGTTCGGTTATCAACTTTCTTCTATCACGTTTAACTTGATTGCCAATAGTTTTTAATTTGGAACGTGGTAGCGTTACTGAACAGTAATGTAATGTCGTAAGCGATGTCGTGTCAAGTTGCGCGCGCGTGTCGTCAGCGCGGTGGCGGGTGTCGCGCGCGTGTCTCGCCGACGAGTGCCGGCGCGCCGCAGCCGCCGCCGCCGCCGCCGCCGCCGCGCTGCCGGACCGCGCACTACTAGGGGTGGCAATATAAGCAACGTTCAATCGTCCTTGCGTGTACAGAATAACACAACACAATATTAATACGTAATCTTAAGCAACGTAAGGATTTACAATTAATCTTGGTTTTATGTATTCCAAAAGAGGATTTTTTATGTTTCACGATAACTTTGTAAATAATGGACGGATTTAACGAATCAGTTATTATTTCAAGCGCTATATTTCCATGGGTTCTAAAATTTTAACGAAGTGATGAGCAGTCGCCCCGTTAGTCGCTGATAATAACAATACATGCTGCTGATAATATGTCACTTCTTGTGACTTTGAATAAGAACTAACGTTTATTTTATTTAGGAAAACCACCGTTTTTTAGTCATTGTTCTACCACTTCGGTAATAACGAGTAAACAAAAGCAGACAGTTAAATTTTTTACCAACGGAATAATATCGTTGACGGTTCTATCAAATGATTAATTGTATTCGCGAACTGACAGCCCTATTCACCTGTTCGTAGAACTCCTCTTAGTTTATAAACCTGAATAATTTAATAGGGAGTTTTATAAGCGACGACGGATATCTACTACGGATACAGATAGAAAACACGGTAAAAGCATTTACGGCGAGCGGCGGTCACCAAAATGACACAGATTCAATTACAAAGAAAACATAAGGGAGATCCGATTTACTGAAAAACCAATAACTGAAAAGGAAAATAATAGAAGACCTTGTTACGTTCTGAGCCGGACGCCTGAGCCGAGCCGCGGGCAGAGTTTGCCAAATATTTCTATCTGAAAATTCAACTTTATTAATATCGCTGTCCGGAAATCCCAAGTTAAATGTGTAGAAAAATATAACTTACTTTATTTTAGGCAGACTTTTATGAAAAAAATAAAGTTCAAAACTCTTATTGTCTCGTAAACCATGACGCTAAATTCCGTGACGACCAACGCGGTTGAGTTGCTCACTCACAAGTAGGCTTCAAAAGATACCGGGTCCGAATCCCGGTGGGGTCAATTTAAAACATCAACTTTTATATGTCTCAGATCCGCGTGTTGTGGTACCTTAGTTGTTTCAAGTTTCCATAATTGTAGTAGTTTGTGACCTCAGCAGGGTGAAAATTGTGTACCTCTACAATATCAATATCACTATGAAGAACCGGAAACAGAGTGACGTCATGTTGACAAATGGTCTCGATTTAAACGAGCTGTCATATCTCTTTTCGTTGTCATAGTTAATTTGTTATAGATTATATACAGCATTTGTGAAATAGTAAGATCTAGAAGAAAAACAACTTGGGGAGAATACCTATCTGTGTACGGCAAAAAAGCATTTATGTTGTACGATGTGTTCGTTCACATCGGATCGGCACTGTGAATCATCGTTATTTATATTACATTTTAATTACAATAAATAAAAATAATTAATCCCAGCAACTCCTGTGCAAGTCGGACAGTTACTATTGATAACGAATACAAATTCCCCGCCGACTTCGCCGAAAAGTTTCATGAATATTTTTCTTCACTTTCATGAACTTATTATATAAAGTTTAATTTTTGAACTAAAACCGCCTAAAATTCTTAATAACTATAAACAAATGCGAGAAGCGTTTGCGGTTGACAAATTCAAGTGGTCGGTTTGAGCGCGACCGACTCCTCATTTAAATTCAAATCAAGTTCCTTGGATTTGTTAACTAAAACCTTAACCCGGCGCCACATCGAGCTCATTCGAACATTATTATTATTATTCGATTAAAGCTAATGTTTAATTTAAATATTATTTTATTGCTCTGAATGCTGTTGTAATATAAAAAAAAAACGAGAATCTGCGTGTCGACCACGAACGGTTTCGCGAATCCAAAAAAAACGCACTTGACTACGTTTTTTTACGCTCATTTTTATAAATTAAATGTTCTTATACTCTGTTTTTAGTTGTTTTGGTTATACATAATCTGTGAAAATTAAGCTAGCTAATACGGGTCATGGGATACAGCTCGGTGACAGACAGTGGAATCTTAGGAACAGGGTCCTATATTTACCCTTTGGTAGTAACCCTAACAATGATGATAAAAAAATATCTCAAAAGATATTGAACGATTCAAATGTTAAATAAACAACTTTCGGTGACGCCGCACAGCAACGTCTGGAAATGTATGTGCTACGAGTCAACAGTGAGATTGTACGCAGCTTTTCATATAATATTTAATGTACAGGTGCGAGTATCGGCACTCAGTCTGCGTACACTAACGGTCGGTGACATTACAAGTATTTATTCAGTCTGGTTTTACTATTTATATAGAAAAAACGATGAGACATATTAAAACTTACATACTGTTATGGACGTAATGCGTTAATGTCGTCGTTTTGTTGAAGAATGTGACGTCTAATTTGTTTCCTTGTTGGCACGTCATCGTTTCACAATACGTTCTGTGTTGTGTTAAGGCGACGTTGAACTATAGGGAGTAGAGGGGGGGGGGGGACACGAACACTGCCAGCCCGCGCCGGTGCCTCCCGCGTCACTCGAGAACATTTAGAAAAATCTAAACTCTTAACATAAAGAACAATGGTCAAAATGGACTATGAAAAAAAAAGTTCTTGTACCAAGATGAAACTATCACCAAATGTAGTATAAGTTGAATGTAATTATTATATACCAACAATTTATTTTTAAAAGCTGGGAAAAGTCAAATATGTCTATTTTTTAGAACGCAGTTTATATTATGTTATTTTTGAACGCACCGTATTAATAATGTCATTCCTAGAGAAGTCCCTCTCTTTTCAAAGAACAAGATCTATTTTATTTCTGTCTAATCGAATTTGATACAAATCTTATATTATTTACTAACCATATAAATCCGTGAAATTAAATCTTAGATTAGATTACTAATCTAATTAGATGTTACTTAGAGGAAAATAGTTTATTTATAATGAAATTAAAATCAAATGATTATTCATAAGAATCGATATTTCAGTATTCAAACAAAATAACATATGTTTCATCAAGTTACGTTTTATTCGATTTTACTAGTCCAAGCATGTTAGGCAGATGGCCATTGTTCTTTGTCTTATATTATAAGTATAATAAGAAAAAAAATATTCAGTAGTTTGTAGGTCATTAGGTGGGCATTGATTTTAAAGAAACTTTTTTGATAAATTTCAAATAAATTTGTAGATAACGTTACAAATTATAAAATGTTAATTGATCAGGTTAATATATTAATTATTATAATTTACAATGATATATTTCAAATATAAACTATATCTGCGCCTTAAATAGTCTCTTACGCTTTTGTACACTGGAATTGTTTTTGTGACGTTATTTAATTATAATAAGGCATTAACAATGGAACCGACTTTATTTTATTCCACACGAGAGACTCCAGTGTGCCAGAAGCCGCGCTATCAGTAGCGTGACAATAGAAATATAATTTAACAGAAAAGTTTCTTGCGATATTCATGAATTCATATTTATAATTAATATTTTTAAAAACAGATGACGTGAATACTGTAATTTTGGTCATTTAACTAAATAAAAACAATAAAAGTGTAAGGGATTTTGATTTGGAAAAATTAAAAGAAAGTCTTAAAATATTTTTATATTCGTACTGAATTCCTTATTTCGTGTTGAAATATTTGAAATCCCTCTCTCTGGCACAAAAATTCTTTTCATGTTTGTTGTATAATAAAGGAACACGAAAATCAAATTATTTGCTCGGCGACGCGGTGAATGTAAAGATACGTTCTCATTGTTGGGGGGCACAAAAGGCCTTCAACACAGGACAGATGTAGCGCGGCTGCAGAGTGGCGGACACCAAAATAATATTAAAGTTGACCTGAATAGGCGCGATGCCCATCACTTATTCATGTATCAAAGTTTTTTAGACGACAATCTAAAAAACTTGGATGTATCACAACAGTTTGACCGACAATAAGGTTGAGGGCTGCTATATTTATTGCGTTTACTATTTAGCTAACATTAAATAATAGCTTTTCGCCAGTCGCTTCGCCCGTAGACTTTAAATCCCCATGGAATCATTAAGTAGGATAAAAGGTAGTCTATATATTCTTAAAGAAAAATGCTTAATGAATTCACCAACCCCAGGTACTCTGAGATGGGACTTGCGACGACCTTTCACAATCCGAGCGACTGATCTAACCACTGAGCTATCCAGGACCTAAGAGGACTGACGAATTTTCCAAGCACTGCTTACTGTTCGCTGCTAGCGAGCGTATTTTCTTCAATGTTCAGGCAATCAACACAAACAGCCGAAATAAATGTTTTTACAAACTTTCAAT